GATTGGAATTGCTTAAAGAGGAAAAATTGAAAGATTTGTAAATGTTTAGGGCTTACATTCTCACTACAGATTGCTGAAAAATGTTTTTTTTTTGAATGAAAAATTAAGATGAGAGGCAGCAATTAAGGAAAGATGAACATCACGAATGGTGAAAGTTAAAAATATTTAACAATGAAAAAATCAAATTGTCATTTAATATGTTTAAATAAAAATGATTTCTAAATTTCCTGAAATGATTCACACAACAGCACAGAACAACGAGGACACTGTCCTTTATAAAGTGGATCACAAACACTTGATATTAAGAATTTGCTGCACTTTGTCTTTAATGGATGAAAGGAAGAAGAGTTGTCGGAACATAATGATTTAGTGTTAGAAGGAAAAACATTTAAAGAGGAGCCAAAAGTGTTGACAAAAACCTCTTTCATTTCAGATATGCCAACCTCAGGAAACTGGGGAGAAATAGGTCTTACATCACAAAACCAATCTTCTATCAAAGTTGGGCTACTTGGATTTTCGAATTGTCTTGACAACATAACGTCCTGTAGCTCAAAAGAACTCAATCTCGACAAAGGCTCATTTGGTTTTTCCTGAGTCATACCTCGCACTACGTCAGCATATGTAAGAGGTCTTGCAGAGGTCACCACTGCTGGTAAAGGTAAGTTTTCACCTGAGTGTTTGGCTTCAAAAGTTGGAGGAAGTGAATCTGGTAATTCTGCTCTGTTCTCATCAAACATATCTTTCAGACAAAGGTCAAAGTCCTGCTCATCTGATAAGACTGACAGTGACGATGGTCTTGTGTCTGAACAACTCAGGTAGTAGTTACAGTGCTGACCAATTTTCAGAAAAGAAGACAACATTTGACCTTCAGTTGAAGCAACAGACTCTGGTGAGGAGGCTCTCAAATCACTAAGCCAATCAGACAAAAGCACAAAATTAAACCCAGGGGAGACTGAATCTTGAGACAAAGCTCTGTAACTAAATAAGTTGTCCAGTCCAAAGTCTGATACAACTGAATGTGGAGACTCTGGTCTGCTCTCATCAAACAGACTTTCCAGACACATATCCGTTTCCTCCCAGTCTGATAATGTGGATTCTGGTGTGAACAATCTGTTGCATGACAGATCCACACTGCAATCAATATGAGAACACCTGAACTGGGGAACAGGTGAGTCAAGAGAGAGGGTTCTATGGTCTCCTTGAGAACCCATAGACTCAGGAGAAATAGGTCTTACATCACAAAACCAATCTTCTATCAAATTTGGGCTATTTGGATTTTCCAATTGTCTTGACGACATAACATCCTGTAGCTCAAAAGAACTCAACATCGACAAAGGCTCAGTTGGTTTTTCCTGAGTCATACCTCGCACTACTTCAGCATATGTAGGAGGGGTTGCAGTGGTTACCACTACTGGTAAAGGTAAAGTTACAGCAGAGGGTTTGGCTTCAAAAGTTGGAGGAAGTGAATCTGGTGAATCTGCTCTGTTCTCATTAAACATATCTTTCAGACAAAGGTCAAAGTCCTGCTCATCTGATAACATTGACAGTGGTGATGTTGGCTTTGTGTCTGAACAACTTAGGAAGTAGTTACAGTGCTGACCAAATGTCAGGAAAGAAGACAACATTGGACTTTCATTTGAAGCCACAGATTCTGGTGAGGATGCTCTCAAATCACTCAGCCAATCAGAAAATGGGGCCAAGTTACAGCCAGAGGACACTGAATCTGGAGACAAAGCTCGGTAGCTAAATAACTTGTCTAGTTCATAGTCTGATACAACTGACTGTGGAGACTCTGGTCTGTTCTCATCAAACAGAACTTCCAGACACAAATCAGTTTCCTCCCAGTCTGATAATTTGGATTCTGGTGTAAACGATCTGTTGCTTGACAGATCCACAATGCAATCAATATGAGAACACCTGAACTGAGGAACAGGTGAGTCAAGACAGAGGGGTCTATGCTCTCCTTGAGAATTAATAGACTCAGGCGAAATAGGTCTTACATCACAAAACCAATCTTCTATCAAAGTTGGGCTACTTGGATTTTCCAAGTGTTCTGACGATATAGTCTCCTGTAGCTCAAAAGAACTCAACCTCGACAAAGGCTCAGTTGATTTTTCCTGACATATTCCTCGCACTACTTCAGCATATGTAAGAGGTCTTGAAGAGGTCACCACTGCTGTTAAAGGTAAAGTTACACCAGAGGGTTTGGTTTCAAAAGTTGGAGGATGTAAATCTGGTGAATCTGCTCTGTTC